CACACACACACACACTCACACACACACTTATATATTATATACAGGTCATTGATTCTTGCTGTTATGGTTCAGAGCAATCAGTAGGAAGTAAAACAGAAATCCTAAACGTTGATGGGGCTCATTCATAGATGACTGAGGGAGACGATCTGATCGCTAGCCAGACGCTGACATCACCACCGGTAACCGTAGCAACACAGACAGTAGTTTCTCCAGTAACGATTTTTCAAGATGAATTCAGACAGCACAAATTGCATGACAGAACAATCCTCATCACTCGCACAGCACCAGGTTCATGAGACCAGCTAAGATTTTCATCACTGATCCCCCCCCCCCCCCATCCCCCCATTCCCTTGTCTCTGCTTCCCTGTCACCCCTCTCTCAGGTACATGAACTGCAGGGTGCCAGCTGATAAGAGGTACCAGCCCACTGAGTATGAACACGCTGCAAACTGTGCCACACACGGGGTGAGGTGTACGAACTTTCAGAATAAATGAGCATGGGATTTTCTTTGTCTGTGTGTGTGTGTGTGTGTGTGTGTGTGTGTGTGTGTGCAGCAGAGAAGATGTGGAGGATTGTGAGGTGACGTGGACTGAAGAGGATTTTATTTATTTATTTTTTTGTAGGGCTGTGTGATAGAGGCAGAAAGCCATAATCTGAGTCAGGCTGTAGTTTTCTTTAATCTGCTGTAATCCCGGCCCTCTGCTGCCTCACAGAGTGAATGAAACAGGCAGGAAAATAAATGGCAGAAACATGGACAGAAATATGAACAAAATACTTGAAAATAATATTAATTACATTAAAAAAATATATTTCAAACTGTCACTATCTTAACAGAGTTTAGGTCAACATCTGTAAAAATTGAGTAATTTATAATTGTCTTTGAGTTTTCTAAGGTTAATTAGTTGTGGCGGCCATCTTGAATTGGTTTGGCTCCAAAAGTTGATTACTCGTAGATGTAAAGGCACATTCAATGATTTTTGTTCCATTCTTTGCTCTAATTATGACATAACATCCTCCAATTTATCATTTAATGCTACCACAAAAATGCACTTATTTGAATAATTTATGAATATGAACATTTTGTTACAGATTCACTCAGCATTCCTGCCCTTAGCAAAAAGTACTTTATTCAAATGAAACACTAAAAATGAGGAAGTGTACTTGAAGTTTACTTTGTATAAACTTTATTTGATATACTTAAAAATAGTATAAAAATGTCCAAATTTAGTCCAAACAAGTATTAAATCAGTATACTTTCTAGTACACTACAAGTATGGTGTGTAGTATACTTGATACACTTATACTTAACTTAAAGTATACTTGCAAAAATGAACTTTAAATGTACTAGATTTTGTTAAGGGTGGTGAAAAACTGTTTTTCTAAATTTAAAATGTTGGAGATAAGTTAAAATTTGTAGACTTTTTGAATAAGAAAATAAGTAAATGGTAGCTCTCGTGTTAATTTGTGTAAACTTTAGAGAAAGATTAGTAAGTTCAAACTGCACTATGTGTTTTGAAATAAAACATGGGCTGAATATGAAGCTACATCTAGCCTAGCTCATCACCAAGACAAGAAGACTGCGCTATAATTTTTAAGTTTATACTTAAAAATTTGTCATTTTATTAAGAAGTTCTTGGGTTATCTTGGGAATATTTTCAGCCAAATACAAAATTGTTCAGGACAAAAGTTAGCCAAGTAGCCCTTAGCCAAAAACCTAGCCTAGCATAAACCACCAAAAAACTGCATTAAGTTTATTTTACTCCTTGGTGCATTTTAAATGTCAAATGTAATTGTTAATATGTGTATTGGCAGTCAGTATGAAAACAGCAACACACTAATGGTTTCCTTGGGTTTTGAGTTTTTTTTTTAATGAACTAGCTGTTTGAAAAAATGCTCAAACTTTGGTTAGCTTCAATGAGCTCCTGCTAGCCACTCCTTTTCATCTTTATAACACCATAAGTTTCTCATTTTAAATTTACAAAATGGCTAAATGTCATTTAAAAAGTTTACTTTTTGCTTTGGACTCAGACAAAAAGTTTACCACAAGTTTGTTTTCTCATCATTTTCTTTTCAGTTCAAGGTAAAGTGTAATAAGTAAACAGATTCCTAATAGAAACTTTTAAAACATTATGTGTAGAGACTTGTTGATGTCTTGCAGTTGTGGATCATCCCCAGTCTGGTGGGTGGATCTGTGCTCTACTTCCTGTCTGTGGACAGATGGCATCAGGTCACTGCCTGGCTCTACGGGAGCGGTCTCACCGGCCTCTTCATCACCTCAACACTCTTCCACACAGCTGCCTGGAAAATCAGCCATCTACGGTATGTCTCAATCTTTAACTTGCATTTTTATATTTAGGCCCGTGCAGTGATGCCATCAAGATTATTTCTCCACGGTGAACTGCGGTTTATGTCAACAGTTAGTACATCATCAGGAGTAATGAGGATGTTGTTCCTGCTTGTTAAGGTGAAGGAGCTGAGCCAAAAGGAAAAGCTCTTAAAGGCCTTCCATGTTTTAACCCTCACCTGTGGTGATAAGATGTGGGTCATCTCCATACATGACCCCGAGGAACGGGGAGAACGTCTTTAGATCTCCCAGGAGAAGGTCTAGTGTCACCAGATGGATGTCTTCATTTCTTGGACCTCTGTGATCCAACCACAGTCAAGTGAGAGAATATACAGTAGATGAATTAATGCTAAATTGTCAATTGTTCCTGATTAGGTCCTTACTTTTAATACCCCACCGTGGAGCAACGAGGGGACTAAAACATACCTACCTGTTGTCTGGATTTAAATATATGTATATATGTAAACCTTGCAAGCAGAATAGCTTCAAAAATTAGCAACATGCCGACTTCCATTTGGTATGTGGCTGCATCTAAGTGTAAGAACGGTCATTTTGACAATTGGCTTGTAAAATCAAAATCCAAGATGGCCACCACTACATATTTATATGTAAACAGGCCACCTCGAAAATTTGAGGAAACTGCATCCTAGTTTTTATATAGTGTAAAAGTGTTGTTTCTTCAAATGATTGAGGTGGCCAAAGATTAATCTATGAAGGCCAAGGCCCCCATTGGCCACCCCCTGGCTCCGCCTTTGCACCTGGTGGTAGAAAAAAATTGTTCTTTCTGCTTGCCAGGATCCGTACCTCTGCACCACCTTGGACAACCAAAATAATAATAAAAATACTACTTCTGTTCTTCTACACAATCAACTCCTACCCAATATCTTGCTCTAAAAACATTAAGGTTTACAGTAGTCCCTCGCTACTTCGCGGTTTGTTTATCGCAGATCCGCTCTATCGCGGTTTTTCAAAATAAGATTGGACATGACACACAAATGGCTGACTGATGGATGAGCCACACAATCGGCATGAAATTTTAATTTAAAATCAATTTAAAATTATTTAGCACCTGCTGTCCATACTGCTGCAGGATAAACTTCCTGCTGCAGTTGAACAACTGATCAGATGTTCAGCACGCAGAGCAGAGAAGTGGGCGTGGCCAAGAGCGCTTGCAGGTGGCAAAGAGCAGAGGATGCAGAGAGCTGAAATCATGACATTCTGTGCTCTTTTAGAGCGTTTAGAAACATTGTTTAGAATATTGCAAGAGTGTGGGAAGGGTTTAAAACACCATATATATACTACTTACTACTTGTACTACTATTCCTACTTGGCAGTTTTTCAATTATCGTGGAGCTTCAGGGTATGGATCCCCCCGCGATAAATGAGGGACTACTGTACTTGCATTCCCTGTTCAAAACCAGTCTAGAAAAACACAAATCTTGAAAACAAACATTCACTGTTCAAATCCTTCAGCGATGGAGGACATCGATGCACCGCTTGTTTGTAATAAGCTTACAGTCAACCAATCAGGTGCTATATATTAATATGTGCAATGATTAACCAACGTTTAACTCTCAGTAAGTCGTTTTATCATAACTTCACAACATTCCTTGTCTGGTAAAAGTCATTACTGAGCTGATATTGTTAATCTAAGTGTTTTTTATACATTTATGATGGTTGTGTGCTGAGTTATTGCCTTTTTAAAATGTATATATATATATTTATATAGGAAGATGGAGCAACGTTTCCACATGTGTGACAGAATGGCTATCTACTTCTTCATCGCCGCCTCCTACTCTCCCTGGTCAGTCAAGTGAGCGCAGCTAAAGCACAAATCTCAGTCGTATAACGATCACTCAGTGACGTGTGTGACCTCAGGTTGATGCTGAGGGAGCTGGGACCCTGGACGTGCCATATGCGCTGGCTGATCTGGGTCATGGCTGGCTTTGGATCCACGTACGTCTTCTTTTTCCACGAGAGGTAAAAAGGTCTCTTGTTGTGTGTCGAACCATAACGGACACTTGAGTATTTACATAAAACACTGGACAAGTGTTTGAACCGTCAACAGGAGTCTCCTGTTTACCTCCTGCAGGTACAAGCTGGTGGAGCTGCTGGGGTACGTGGCCATGGGGGCCGCGCCTGCACTGGTCATTCTATCTATGGTAAACCCAAACAACCAAGATCTAAGAGTTGGATTTTACTAAAAACCACTGACGGAGACCTTCAATTAATGATTTATTTTCTTGTTTTTCCACAGGTGGAGCGCGCAGGTGTGTGTGAGCTGGCTGTTGGAGGGATCTTCTACGTGGTGGGCGTAGTTTTCTTTAAGAGTGACGGCCTCGTGCCATTCGCCCACGCCATCTGGCATCTTTTTGTGGCGGTTGGAGCAAGCTGTCATTACTATGCCATCTGGAGGTACCTGTATTTACCTGGACTACCGCTGCAGACAGCGAGGTGACTGGCAGCCGTCACCAGACACGATCTACAGTCCCACTGAAGCACAACTACCAGTACTTATGGCACAACAAAAAAGCAGGACTGTAGCTTTGCACTGACAGACGTTAATGCTGTTCATGATATCACTGTGACTTTTCCTTTGATGGGTTGATGTCACCTTCAGATCTGACTGAGGTGGAGAAAAAACAAGAATCTGAACAATATGTCACCTATACAACATCTAGCCTCAGAATCCAACATGCTCGTCTGATTCTGCTGTTAAACACATCGTTAAAGGAGTGTTTTTTTTATATTTGTCATGAGTGAGGCTGTGCAGAG